TTTGTATCTGGTCTCAACCATAGACCAGGGGGGTCCGGCGTTTTGGGAACGCCGGACCCCCATGAGCAAAAAATTCCGACCGGATTTTGGCAAAAAAAGTCAGTTTTGATTTTGTTCAAAAAATATAATATGTCCGTTTTGACGAAATGGCTGTTACACATCTAAGATACAGAGTACATACACACATACACAACCATAGAGCAGGTCACAGTCAACTGATAATGATGATAGGCGTTCGATGATAAGTATCCCCCTTAATATCAGCTAGGTCTGTGGTGGTTGAGTAGAGGGCGTGAGTCGCTGGTTGGTCTGGATCAACTAATGATGATGATAGGCGTCTCGATGATAAGTACCCATCTTAATATCAGCTAGACAGTGTGTGACAGACTAGGGCTGTGGGGGCGGGTAGAGTGCGTGAGTCACTGGTTGGTCTGGATTAACTGATGATGATGATAGGTGTTTCGAGGACATGTACCCCGCCTTAAAATCAACTAGGACTGTGATGGCCGAGTAGAGGGCGTGAGTTACCAGTTGGTCAACTTAGGGGCTAGTAGGAGATTGCTTGGGCCTGGCGTTGGAAGTTCCTGTGCGACGAGGCTCGTTCGATTCCGGTTCAACCAGGGCTGGGTCATGGCTAGCCCTGGTGCCTGTCAGTGCTGTTAGGTCCAAGTTCCCCTCGATAGGGGTAACGGTCCTGAGTGATGGTCACACTGAGGTAGGATAGTAGAGATACGGGGTGCACTAGGAGTATTGACGTGAGGATGGGATGGGAAGGTAAGCTCGTTCCCTCAGGTAGAGCATGGCTGACCGCTCCTGGCGATCAATGTGTGCCTAGTAACCGGCCTCTACAACACCCTGGGCTTTAGAAAAAAAAAAAAAAAAAGATCTGAAGTAGATGTCGTCGACCACAGCCGCCCCAAAGCTTCTGCCACTGCCAAGTGGGCGATTCGAAGGCTGAAGGAAAGATGCGAGATACCGCCTGGCTGCTGTGGATCCACATAGCCGCACATAGCCTATGAAAGATAACGGCCTCATTCGTAGATATGTGGCCGTATAGATTCCATGGGAAGGTCGCCTGATAACGGCGATCTTCAGTTCGTGATGTTCCAACAGTTCGTTGTTCCTTGCCCAACCACTCTCACCCGATATTGCCCGGCTTCCTTCCCCTTTCCTGAGGACAAGTTCACGCCACTCTTGCTCGAGCTCACACTGGAAGCTCGACGGCTTCGCGGCTCGCCTTTCCCGTGCTAAGCGCGCCGGGACATGGCGACCAAACTCCACGTTGGAGAGAAACCCTACCGCTAACGCACACGCGTAATAGGACTAGAGCACTACGGCGCCGCCTCCTACCAGTCCCATCAGGGATTCCTTTTTGGGGGGAGCCTCCCAAACACTCCACGCCAAGTGAAACCACCACCAGCGCA